TAGTTATGGAATGAATGAAAAAACCCAGGCTTCTAGAAGCAGTGAAATTCTCCACTTTGAATTCCCTCCCTAATAGGAAAGGTTCACGAAAAGATAAACAAAAACTGTGGCCCTCTGCTCCTCATTTTTACAAAGGAGTTTCTTTATTTCTCTAAAAAAGACAAGGTCATTGAGACACATGCACAGTGGTTCTCTATGAGATTCACCGGGTAAAACCTAGTGAATGAGGATGCCACAGGCCTTCAAAGGGGGTGAAGAATCTTTGGGGTGGGTAAGAGTAAGGAAGGCTTCTTTGAAGGTAAAGAAGTTTATATCAGAGACTTAGGTGCCCTATATAAGATGCCCCAAATCTGATGTTTGAGTCTGAACTGGCTCTTCTGTTCTGCTGGGCATACCTTTGGGCCCAGGCAGGTGGCTTTGTCAGCAGCTTCGCAGCATTCTGTCAAAACTCCTTTATATTCTTGAGCAAAGTACAGAAGCTCTGGGCCATAAAAGAAAGGATGTCTCCTGGCAACTTCATATATGTACCTACATTTTTAAAAAGAAGAAAAGGCAGTCATTTTTCTGTACCAGACAAGATTACAAAAATAATTATTATCAACAATTTCCCTAGAAATTCCAAAACCCAGAGACATCAAACTTACCAATTAAACTCAATTTGTACATGACTTTGCTTTTGTCATTTTTTAAATCAATAAAAAGATTAAATATATATACATTTATATATACATATATAAATGTATGTATATTTATACACATGTATAAAATAGTAAAATATTGGTGATATAAGATTATTGACTAAAATGAAGTAATTCTGACAATAACCAAATATATCTTCATAATATTTTAATATGTGGCAATGTTTTTCATACAGATGATATCCTGTTTCAATGAATTCCAACAGATCGCTGATCAATATTTATTGTGTATAATAGCATTAAACTAGAGACCCGATGCACAAAAGTCATGCACGAGTAGGCCTTCCTTCCCCCAGCTGCCGGCACCGGCTTCCCTCTGGCACCCAGGACCCCGGTTTCTCTTGCAGCCCCAACTTCATCCGGAAGGTCATCTGGAAGGTCGTCCAGAAGGTTAGCATATTACGCTTTTATTATATTATAGATAGTATTTCTTTCAATTTGTCATTAGAACAAAAGCTTTTAAGTCTTAATGTTGAAAATATTTTTATAGTAATTGTTAACCTATTTCATAATTTTTAATGTTGAAGCATGAACATCTGATTACTTACGTTTCTAACAGCGCCTTTTCATTTTCCTTAAAGGCAGTGCATGTTGCATCAGAATCTATTGTCCCCATTGGGGGGATATTTAGCTCATCATCTTTGTGTTTCACGAAGCACTGGTACCTCAAAGGTGCTTCCGCTTCACAGCAGTCAGCCATTTCATCATAGTGCACAGGAAGAGATGTAATGGAACACAATTTAGCTGTAAAAGGGGTGTCCTAAGGGGGAGACAGAAGCCTTCAATTCCTAGCCGTATTTTATTTCCTCTATACCCAAAGAAAGGTATTTAAAAATGTAAGATAACAGTAACCCTGGGTGAGGAAAGCATATAAAAATCTACTTTTTCCTCAGGTGTAGAAAGTTTCCCTTGATTTGACCATCTGTGTGTAATGTTTTAAGAAGTAACTGTCACACTGATAGTTACAGTGGGTAAAACAAAAGGACAAAAGGACAGTCAATGGTTTGAGGAAGGAATGCTACTCCAATTTTCACCTGAGGCTAAAGACTAGGAACAATCAGAACAATACTCAAGGGAAAAGACTCCTGTAAGTAGCAGGTGAATTCACTTCAGAGAGGACAGTGTTAGGAAAGCTTCTCATTTGATCTACTTTTTTTTGTGAATGGTCCAGATTCTTAGTACATACTATTTAAAAATTCAGAAGTAACACAATTCACTACATATTAATTGTTATTGCATTAAAATATGAATCTTTTTGTTCTAGAAACATTTATCTCAAAACACATTGCATTAGATGAATTCTTTCAATCCCCATTAATTTTATTAGGAAAATAATTATAATACCAAGGGAAATATATTGCCCAGAACAGAATTTATTACATTTTACAAAATACATTTTTTAAAAAATTCATATTTAGAGCCATAATACTGTGTGAAGTTAAAGTGCTGATTTCAACTTCAGGGAGAGAGGCATATAAAGAAAAAAAGAAGGAGAAAAAGCTTCAGTAAAAAATTAAAAAATGGACTTGCCACCAGGAAAGTATGTATAGATTGAATGGTGGGAGCAACGTTCACCTCCACTTGTATTGAAGACCTATCTAGAAAAAACAAAAGCTCAAAGACCTTTAAAACAGATGAATGCCCCAATATTTTATTGTAAGTAAAAGTATGACTATCCCTAAAATGGGGAATATAGATCTGTACTCTTATTTTACCCAGGTAACAAAATTAGCATAAAAATCACCCAAGTGCTTTCTGAATATTAAAAATCATGCGATTATTATCAGCCTCTATGAAAAGAATTCAAACTTCAGATTTTAAAAGAGACACTATTAAAAATGACAAATTCCTCTTAAATCTACTATGACCATTGTATGTAGTCTCAATAAAGAAATGATTTAGAACTGTGGGCATAGCTAGAATGTCTCTATCATAGAAGAAATGATGGCTCTACCCATTTGTGAGAGTTGCTTACAAATATGGTCACTTAAAAATCATTGAGAAAGCCAAAATGAGATGTTTTCCCTTTGAATTTCTCAAGATTATTTAAAATAAGAAAAAATAACATTCAAAATTATAATGTACTTACAATTAACTTGCAAAAAACTGCACCTAACTTGTCTTGAGCACATACTTTTGCCAATTCAGTTACTTTATCTGTTATTTTCCTAATATCATCTAATGGGTACTTCCGGAGAAACTGCGAAAAGGTAACCAGCACCCTGGAACACAGGACATAGGAAAACATGGTATAATAAAACTTTAATATAAAGTAGGTTGCTATGCTAGAGAACAAATTGTGTTTTCAGGATATGTTCTATAGTATTTTGTGCATCGCATTATTATCAGAAAGACTATTCACATCAGCAATTATCTCAGACCTAACCATGAATGTGTGGTTTTCTAAGCAGAGGATATGTATCTCAACCATGTTTACACACATATGTGAGTAGATGAACACATACAGAGCAAGCAAGCAACATGCATTCTGAATAGGTATAATTGTTAAGATGAGGGGCATTACATAGGCCTTTGGACTATTTACAACAAAAAACAAAAACCACACACAAACATCTCCTTTAATCAGGCTATAGAATAAAACTGACCTTTAAAAAATAAACTAATTTTTCATTTTCTACTGAATTAGAAAAATATTAAAATGTTCTGGAGAAACCACAGATCTATGTGCTAGGTAAAGGAATTGGAGTGTGTGCTGGGAAAGTCTTTCCCCTCAATCAAGTTTATATAAGAATTCCAGAGCTGCTACACTTCCCCATACGGTAGCCATCACCCATATGTGATTATATAGTAAAATTAATTAAAATTGCATACAATTGAAACTTTTGATCCTCAGTTGCACTTGCCAAATTCAAGGTACTCAACAACCACATGTGGCCAGTAGCTACTATATGGGCCAGCACTAAAATGGAATATTTTCATGAATGCAGAAAATCTATTGGGCAGTATTGTGCTAGAATCTGGACTCTGATGACAGGGGAATATAAGAATAATAACCAATGCTGTTAGAAACATTAAATTTGACTCTTCAGTATTTTAACTTACAAGTCTCTGAAATATTCTTCTCCCAAATCCATATACCGACGAGCAAGCTCACGTTTGTCTGGGGGAGAAAAAAAGATTTTAAATTCTGAAGAAAACCATTGGTTATGATATTACTTTCTATGTTTCTCTCCATTTACTAATGTATTCATTTGCTCCTAAGTATTGGGCTCCGATCATTTCAGAAAATTTTAGGATGATGATTAACTATTTCTTCTTCTTTTAAACAAATGCGATATTCAATCACCAATTATACTATTTGAAAAATGATTAAAATTATTAAATATGTATAGTTTTATATTCAAACTTGGATAAATCTAATGCTCTTAGTATCTATTAACAGCAAATGGGAGGACAGTAAGAAAGAAAAAATATAAACACCTGTTCTATTTATAAGACTAACAACACAGGTTTTTTGTTGTGTTAATGCATCAAGGTGCAATGGATAGGGCATTGGGAATTTTGAGTTATGAATTCTGTCTTCAACTATATTCTGTGAAGTTGAAGTCACTCTATGTTCCCTCATGTGCAAGAGAAAATTACAGTTACTAAACAATTCTCACCTTTTTTTAACTTAGGATGTTAGAAATATATTAAAATAACTTTCTAAGAGTTCACAAATACAAAATTTTATCACAGTCTAGAAATTAATGATAAAAGAAAACTTCTTTAAAGATGCAGTGTTTACTGATTACTAGGAAAATGAAATAAATTTGAACAATAGAAAAATAGAATTCTTACGTGTATCTGGAAGAACCACACTGCTTACAGAGCTGAGAAGAAAGAAAACGCAAATGAAGGTTACCCACTTCATCCTGCCAAAGACAAGACGTATGGGTTGAAAAAATAGAAAAATTGGGATGAATAGAGGGAAATTGGCACTAATATACTTCTTTAACCAATTATTGTAGATTATTAACTAGACTCAGCTTTGTATTTTAATGGCCCTCAACTGATTATAAAATTCATAATGTTCTTGCCAAGAAATTGTTTGACTAAATCCCTTGCGTATGTTTGCCATCTGTAACTGTTTTCTCCACGAGACCTCGTCAATTCATTAAAGTTATGTAAAACATCTTATCAAATTTTACCTCAGAGTTTAAATGATCTATGCTTACTAGGTAGGGCAAAAGTAGGTTTACAGTTGTGAGTATGTAAATAAGAGTTAATTCTATTATTACTTACTAATTATTGTATTTCTTTTTTATCTTTAATGTTCAAAGTATTACATATGTCCAATTTTTCCCCACTTTGACCCCCCTCCAACCCAGCCCTGTCACCCCAGACCTACCTATTGTCCATGTCCATGGATTATGTATAAAAGTTGTTTGGTTAATCACATGCTGTGACACTCCCATTTCTTTCTTCCCTCTGAGATTCCTCATTCTGTTCCATGCTCCCATGTCTCTGGATCTATTTTGTTTATCAATTTATTTTGTTTGTTATATTCCACATATAAGTGAGATCATATGATACTTATTTTTCTCTGACTGGCTTATTTCACATCCCTCCATACTGTCTCAAATGGTAAGAAATCCTTCTTTTTTACACCTACATACTATTCCATTCTGTAAATGTACCAATTTTTTTTTTTATTCATCTACTGATGGGCACTTGGGCTGTTTCCAGATCTTAGCTATTATAATAATGCTGCTTATATTCTTTCTGTTTGGTGTTTCAGGGTTCTTAGGATATATTCCTAGAAGTGGGATCAATGGGTCAAATGGCAGTTCCATTTTTAATTTTTTTAATTTAAATTCTTTATTGTTTAAAGTATTACATAAGTCTCCATATTCCCCCATTGACCTTTCCCCAGCCACTCCCACTCCCCAGCACATGCCCTCACTCCTCTACTGTCTGAGTCTAGTGATTATGATCATATGCATGCATACAAGTCCTTTAGTTGATTCTTACCCCCTCACCCCTTGCCTTCCCTCATAGGTTGGATGGTCTGTTCGATGCTTCTATGTTTCTGGCTCTATTTTTGTTCATCGGTTTATGTTGTTCATTATATTCCACAATGAGTGAGATGGTGTGATATTTATCCTTCTCTGATTGGCTTATTTCATTTAGTATAACACTCTAGAGGTCTATCCATGCTATTGCAAATGGTAAGAGTTCCTTCTTTTTTACAGGAGTGTAGTATTCCATTGTGTATATATGCCACAGTTTTCTAATCTACTCTTCTGCTGATGGGCACGTAGGCTGTTTCCAAATCTTAGCTATTGTAAATTGTGCTGCTCTGAACATAGGGGTGCATATGTTCTTTCTGATTGCTGTTTCTGATTTCTTGGGATATATTTCTAGAAGTGGGATTACTGGGTCAAATGGGAGGTC